TACATTGTTGTAATTCTGGAGTTCTGACAGCTGAGCTTGCAGTACTGCACTATTGTCTACTTGTCTGGGATTTGATGGGGAGAGAAAGGCAGCCACTGCCTTCTCCTTGGCTTGTTTGTGTTCCTGCTGGGTCACAAAGTGGTAAACTGCGTATCGTTGTAGGTGTGCCATTCAGAGTCTTCTGTGTTCAATGTGGTGGCTGATTCAGAAACAGTTAATGCTGCTCTTCTGGGAGTCACACCCTCTAAGAAGAGCACTGAGCATCATTTTTGTGCCTAACTAGTAATGTGTCAAATTTTAACTAAAAATGACAAGAATTACAATGTCCACTTTGGGAAACCCTAATCCTTAACATGGTTTTAAACATACAGAAGTTGCTCAATAAAAGGAGCAATAAAAAATAAAATTTTATCAAGGTAATGCTTTTCAGTTAATCATAAAAATTTACATGATGTATTCAAATTACTCAGTTTATAAACTATTTTACAATCTACAGCTGCTCTTGTGCCAACTGATTTTTCAGACCAGTAATTACTTCAGTAATTGGACATGAACTCAAATGTTCCAAAAGAAACTTTAGAAAAAGAAAATCATGTCTAATGGCTCCTTAAAGAAATTTTTCCTTCTGCAGCTGCAACTGTGAGGAAAAAAAGTACAGCAATGAGTTAAATGAATGGCCGTAGACACTGAATTGATTACCAGAGAAGAAAGAATGCTGTGCATTCCCTGCTTTTAAACAATTTAAAGAATTTTGAAACTTCAACCAAACATGTATAAAGAAGACATTTTCAGCATTAATCAGAATTAATCCCTGGAAATTGAACATTTTTCATAATATATTGTCTCAGTGATTTTTAGACAATAAAAAATAAATGTTATACAAAACATTACTAGCGAGGGAAGGGGGTGGGAAGGGATAAATTGGAAGTTTGAGATTTGCAGATACTATCTACTATATATAAAATAGATAAACAACAAGTTTCTACTGGATAGCACAGGGAACTATATTCAATATCTTGAAGAAGAATATGAAAACAAGTATATGTATGTACATGTATGACTGAAACATTAAGCTATACACCAGAAATTGACACAACACTGTAAACTGACTATACTCCAATTAAAAAAAATATATTAGCATATGTGAGTTACTTTTATGTACCAACTTTACTGGCCACAGGATGCCCAAACGTTTAGCCAAATATGATTCTGGGTATTTCTCTGAGGATGTTTTTGGAAGACTTTAGCATTTAAATGGAAAGACTAAGTAAAGCAGGTTGCTCTTCCTAATGTGGGTGGCCCTCATCCAATCAGTTGAAGGCCTGAATACTGTGAAAGACTGACCCTCTCCCAAATAAGAGGGAACACTTCCACCCTACCTTCAAGCTGTGACAGGAGAGGGTGAGGATAGGGGAGGGGGATGGGACTTGTTTGTTTGTTCTTCCTATCAACATTGAACTAAAACATTAATTTTTCCAGGCTGCTGAGTCTGCTAGCCTTTGGACTGGAACTATACCATAGGCTCTCCTAAGTCTTCTTCTTGTCGACCATGGATCTCGGGGCTTCTCAGCCTCCATGAACATATGAGCCAATTCTTTATAATACACCTCACATTCTTGTCTGTGTGTGTGTATATACGTATACATCCTATTGGTTCTGTTACCCAATAACCATAATGCTGATTTTGATACCAAGAAGTGGGATGCTGCTATAATAAATATCTAAAATTGTGGAGTGGCTTTGGAACTAGGTGGTGGAGGCTGTTATGAGTTTTGAGGTGCATACTAGAAAAAGCCTAACTTTACAAAAAGGGACAGTTGCTAAAAATATAGATATTAACTGTGATTTTGGTGAGAACTCAAAGGAGGAGAGTTGGACGGAAAGCTTCCATCTTATTAGAGGGTACATAAATATGAAGTGACTAGTATCCTACAGTATGCATTTTCTAATGTTGAGCTTTGCATATGTAAAATAAATTCCACTGGGCACATGGCGTGTAATTATTTTTAAACAAGGTTAGATTCAGTTTGGAATGTTTTTATAACTTGTATAGGTTTGTAGATCTACTACCAACTTAATTACTTTCATAAATACAGTATTTCTCAGTTTGTTCTATCCTGTGTCAGCAGTTTTTTCCAAAAATTTATCCATTTCATATAAGGTGTTCAATCTGTTAGTATAAACTTGTTCATGATATCCTTAGTATTTTTTTAAAGTCTGAAGTGTACTGGTAACTTCTGTCTCATTCCTGATTGATTATTAATGTCTTCTTTCTCTTTTTCTTGATTAGTCTA